TGGGAAAAGTGTTATTATTGTTGTTGTTGTTGTTGTTTATATGTGATATAATAGAGTGGGAAAAGTATTAAAGATACAACCATATTGGTCCTTAATACCCTCAAAATATCACAATGTCACACACACATGTATGTTTACTAATTCTAGGGGCTCACAAAAATCCCTCAGAGTTCATGTACCTGGGTGGCTCAGGGTTAAGCATCCAACTGTTGATTTGGCTCAGATCATGATCTCAGGGTCATGAGATCAAGCCCCAGTCTTTCTCCTCACTCAGCATGGAGTCTGCTTGAGATACTTTCTCTCTCTCACTCTGCCCCTCCACCTGCTCTCACTCTCTCTAAGTATAATCTTTAAAAAAAAAAAATCCCTCAGAATTCTCAAAGCATGGGACCTTCCTTGTATTGTTCTATCATAGAAAATAAAAAAGTCTTTGATAGGAAAGAAGCCTGATGGGTTATTTTAATTCAAGTTTCACTATTTATAGACATTTCCATGATAATATGTCTGTCAGAAGGTTAATGTGATCAGCTGTGATCAGTTTATCTTAAATTTTTAGAAATCTAATAAAAAAATAAGAAGAGTTTGCTAACTACCTTAAAATTTAGATTTATTTCTTTGGAAGCTTATTGATTTTCTTATGCATGATAACAGAAATATTATCAAATAGTATGGAAACAATGATGGAAAATTATATGTTTGGCCTTTTAAGTTTGAAATGGTTGTATCATGGTTAGTCGCTGAATACAGGTCAGTAAGTTGCAGGCAATGACTGAGGCAACTTGGAATAGAAATTCATGATAACAGACCTTTTTTATTTTCAGATTTTTTTAACTAAAATAATTCTTTAATAATTCATTTGATATGTTTATTCTGGTAGCATTTCCCTAAAATCTGGTAAGCAACAAAAAGTTAAATGAGTCGAGCTCATTATTTAAATAAACACTGAGAATTTTAGGATCCCTTCTTCTCCATTTAATACTTTTTCTTTTATTCTTTTCTTTTTCTTTTTTTTCTTTTTCATCTTTTACATACAAGACAGTCTGTTCTTCATTTTATGTAGCCAAAGAAAAAGCTTGGTTATACTGTGGTAACAAACAACTCCATAATCTCAACAAGTAATACTTTTTTTTTTTTCCTGCTGCATCATTACTACCTCTATTTTAGTAGTCAGCTCCTGTCTTATTCTACGATTAGGCAGGCTAACTGACATATTGCAATTTGCTATTGTAAAAAGAAAGAATGTGGTGAGTCATGCACTGACTCTTAAGGCTTTATCCTCTCCGTGTACAGAGAGGCTAACTCTCTTCCATTCATGTTTAATCCACCAAGTTCCATGACCCTAATCCAAGGATTAGTGAAGAGCTACTTTACCATGGACCCATAAGGAAAATTGGAAATACTTGGTAAGCTGTACCAATGTCTACTTCTTGTCTTTAAAAAAAAACATTCAAAATTTTTTAGTCAAAATGGATATACACACTGCAAAATTAGACATGTGTGATCCTTTTAGTAATAGAGTCATGGAGCAATTGGAATAATAGCTAAGCTGTTCTCAGTAGGAGTATTGCAGAAAGCTCCATGGATATGGCATATAAACTAGTTCTACAAGGACAGGAAGTAGCTGCAGAGGTACATGAGCAATCTGTGCTAGGAAGGCGCACGCACGATCATTGCAGTGTGAACGACAGACTAGATTAGAGTGAGAATGGAAGAATAAACTGTGAGAAGCCAAATGGCAATAGTTAATATGAAGGGCAGTGAAATGAAGAGGAAGTATAACATGGAAGACTGAATTTGGTCTATAGTAGATAGAGAAGTAAGCAAGAGACAAAAATTCATTGATAAATACTGGTTATAGCTTGGGGGAGTGCTTCGGAAATGGAACCCTAGTTCAGTGATATAGTAATTGCTATATTATAAAAAAAATTCCCCATAGTCAAATGACATTAGAAAATATTTCACGGTCATGATCCTGGAGTCCCGGGATCGAGTCCAGCATCGGGCTCCCTGCTCGGCAGGGAGCCTGCTTCTCCCTCTGACCCTCCCCCTCTCATGTGCTCTCTCTCATTCTCTCTCTCTCAAATAAATAAATAAAATCTTTAAAAAAAAAAAAAAAGAAAATATTTCACCTATGCTCTTCCCCCTTATAATTTCACCATAAGTATTTGCCCATTAAGGTCATGGAAATTCTTACAATAAAGAAACATGTTTAACTCAACATTCCCAACTTGATAAGATTTTTTCTTTTTTATAAACGGCATCTCCTAAAAACCCATATACACAATGAAAACAGTTTAGAGGTTCTGATTTAGTACTGAATATGAGTTGTGCTTCCTGCTATGTGACTAGGAGTGTTTTGCTTAATACAGTTACACAAATGAAGTATCAATTTTCAAGGGGGAAAAATGAACACTAAAGATGTGCTGAATATACACCATAGTCTTTATTAATTCATAAGTCGGTTTAGGATATTGCAAAGTTTCAGAGTTCTCATTATATGCTATTATTTTAAAAGTAGAAAAATTAGGAAAGATTTTTAATTTTTATTAATCTCAGTACATGTCCTGGAAATAACATGTTCTAAAATCAGGCTACTTCTTTGTTATTTGTGTGGACTTGACAGGAAATGAAGAAAAAAAATTAGCAGTATGGATTTTGACATTAGTTTTTAAATATGTATGTATGTATGTATGTAATCTCTACACCAATGTGGGGCTCAAACTCACAATCCCAAAATCAAGAGTCGCACATTCCACTGACTGAGCCAGCCAAGGTGCCCCTGATTTTGACATTACTCTTTAATGTCTAAATATCTCTGTCTATATCTATATAAAACATCTAAATTTATATAGGCTCTATAATTAGAAAACATGAATAACCTGGGATCTTTCTAATTTAATAGTTTTTCTTCTTACCCCTTCTAATGTTAGTATTGTTATTGTTGTTGTTTTTGAGAATGATATACTGAATTTTGTTTCTATCAAGATTTCAGTTGTCTGAAAAAATGACTATTTTAATTATCAAAGGTAACAAAAATCTCTGGCACTTTTTCTGATCCATGCTTGGATATATTAGGTGATCTAATATAGGTTGAATGATTAATTCACTTCCTCACAAATGAGTATGCAGGTGTTTAAATATAAAGGAGAATCATTTTATTTTCAGATCCATGCTATGTTAGGTCATAAAAGGTAAATATATTAATGAAAATATAATCTATTCTTGCTGTCATATATGATTATGCATACATATGCATTGAGTATATTGGCTCAAAAGGGATTTTATGTAACACAGAAATTCATTATTAATTTATTTATTAAGAGTACATTTATCATAAATTTATCAGAAAAATAATAAAATAGCAAATTCAACTACACCTACATTAATTCTCATCACTCAAAACTATATATATATATATATATATATATATATCCAGTTACTACTTTGTATTTATTAGCTGATATTCATGTTGATTCAACCTCTGTCCAATTGGATTTATAATTCCTTATGGTCATGAACTGAGTCTCTAGGCTTCAATATCCTATTAGATATATTTTCTCAGCACTAATAATTCTCATATTAACAATGAGGTCAAAAGGTGGATTAGCAAGGCTTGGTAAGTTGAAAAATCCTTCTGCTCATTGTCTCCCCTTCTACTCCCTGTACTGGCAGATGCATTCTGCTTCATTCTTTTCTATCATTTAATAGTTTTAATTACCCAGTGAATTTTTTGTAATACACTAAAGAATACTGTGACCGAGTGTAAAGGACTCTTGGCGGGGGTGGGGAAATCAAATATAATTGTTATGTAAATGAAGTGATAAAGGGTGTTTCTACACATCTGAAAAATTGTTTTGGGTACCAGATGACAGTATTTTTCTCTTTCATACCTTTTATCATTTAGTACTCCTCTGAAGCACAGTATTACTTTGTTTGCTTGACTCTGACCCAATAAAATATAGTCCCAATGAAAGAATTGAAAAAATTATTTGGAAACAATATGGATGCATACAACTGCACACACACACACACACATATGTGGTATATACATACCACATAAGACTATAAATTAAAGCATGTTCTCTTGAAAGTAAAATGGCGAGATAAATATAATACTTTATACTACAAAGATGCCAGTTTTGAGCATCTAATTAGCTTTCTAATTTGGAACATACTGTAATTGGGTCTCCTCTGTTATGAGAGCTGAAATTGAAAACAAGTGTGTATTTCTAACATTTATATTCCTAAATTGCCAAACATAATTGTTTTTTTTTTTAATTTCTGCAGGTAATTGACTTGTAATTTTTATGTTATTGCTGTATATTTCTGCCTAGGAATCTCTTTATAATCCATGTCCCCTGCAAATTCTTCATTTCAAGGACTACAGAATGTTTTACAACATGAACTCACTTATATAGCTTCATGGAAATAGTATTGTCTAAAAAGGAGTCACTTTGTAAATCAACTAATAAAGCATTTTAGCACACTTTCTTATGGTCCACAACCCTTTTTTATTATAAACTCACTACTATAAAATTATAGAGTATCTGGAAATAAAAACAGAATATGCAATCATTTTAATTTCTTGAGATGTTTAGATTTGTTTACACTAATATGTATATAATTTAAATTTTTTCACATTTTCAAATATAAAACCTTGAAGGAACTAACAAGTCTAAGAGAGGATGTTTACTCCTTGAAGACCCAACAGTTTGTGGATTTACTTCTTTACCTAAGATTTATTTAAGTATCAGATTGAATATAATTTATAATTATATTTTTAGTAATATGGAACAGTTGAGATTTGGTTGGTCATACTACTAAAGAGCAGATAAAAAAGATAATTTGATATTGGAATATTTGACTAATAAGGACTGGATGGGAGCCTGAAACAGGGAATGTCTGGAAAGTAAATATTGGTTATGGTAGGAAAGGGTATGCTACAGGAAAAAAAAATTATTAGGTTAGTTCTACAAAATCATTAATTATTTCTCACTCACCCATATATCCAATGCATGTTTGGCTGGTTCAGCTCCACAATATCATGAAGGATCCAGGAAAATGAAAGATGCTTTTGCTTTTATGTTGATCCATTATCTGTAAAGATGAGGTGTCTCTGGTCACTCTATCAGGGAAAGAGAGAGAGCCTCATAAATGATTTAGCCTAGAAGTAAGAGTATATCACTCTGCTTACACCACTATGATAAGAACAAGTAAGTTACAATGCTATCTTACTGAAAAAGTTAGAAAATTTACTTTTTCTGTGAGCCCAAAAGGAGAACCAGATGGGGATGAGCTCTGATTATATCTACCATAGGGAAATAGTCATACAGTTGACCCTTGAACAATACAGGTTTGAAATCCACAGGTTCACTTATATGAGGATTTTTTAATAATACAGTACTGTAAATTATTTTCTCTTCCTTATGATTTTTAATAACCTTTTCTCTAACTTACCTTATTGTAAGAATATAGTATATAATACATAGAGCATACAAAATATGTGTTAAACAACTCTTTATGTTATCAAGAAGGCTTCCAGTCAATAAGTAGGATATTAGTAGTTGGGTTTTGGGGGAGCCAAAAGTTATATGTGGATTCTTGACTGTGTAGGGGGTTGGTGCCCCTAACCCCATGTTGTTCAAAAGCCACCTCTATTCTCACAATTCCAGCTGACTAAATATGAGTGAAAATGTAACTCCACTAATTAGAATTATCTTTCTTCAGTGTATTTAGTGTGCTGACTAGTATCCCTCCAAAATCCATGTCCACTTGGAACCTAGGAATGTGACTTATTTGGAAGTAGGTTTTTGTAGATGTTATTAGTTAAGGTGATGTCATACTGAATCGTAAATACAATGGCTGGTATCCTTAAAAGAGGAGGGGATACCAGAGATACACAAAGAAAAAGGACATGTGAACATGTAGGCAGAGGGTGGGGTGATGGAGCTTCAAGCTAAGGATTACCCACAACCACATGAACTTAAAAGGCAAAGGAGGATTCTTTCTTAGAGCTTTCAGAGGGAACATGACCCTGCTAACATTTTTTGGATTCTAGCCTCAAAAACTATGAGACAAAATGTTCTGTTGTTTTAAGCCACCAACTTTGTGGTAATTTATTACAGCAACTCTCAGACTAATACAGTATATTTCATCAAATATTCAAAAACTCAATTTTATCTTGGTTTCCCTGAAAGCAATATTAATTTATTGTGAAGCCTCTTTTGCTTTCATTTGTATTTGGCACTCCTACTTCAACTTCGGATTTTACATAAAAAATTGTTGTACCTTCTTTTGGAAGAGAAAATTCTTCTTCCAAGTTTATTTTAATTAAAATGACTATCATAAGGGGCGCCTGGGTGGCTCAGTCGTTAAGCATCTGCCTTCGGCTCAGGTCATGATCCCAGGGTCCTGGGATCGAGCCCCTCATCGGGCTCCCTGCTCCATGGGAAGCCTGCTTCTCCCTCTCCCACTCCCCCTGCTTGTGTTCCCTCTCTTGCTGTGTCTCTCTGTCAAATAAATAAATAAAATCTTTAAAAAAATAATAATAAAATAAAATAAAATAAAATAAAATGACTATCATAATAGGATGAAAAGATTTAAAAGGATAAAAACCTAGAATCACAATTCTGCAGGTTTTTTTTTAACCCACACAATGAACCATATCTGATGTGGATTAAATTTTAAAATATATTTAAGCAAAGATAATTATGTAATGTGAGAGAGGTGCTAAATATTGCTACGACAGTCATATTACAGTACATAAATGTATCAAGTTAACACATTATAATCCTTAAATTTACACAATGTTATATGTCAAATAAACAAAAAAAATGGTTACAGTGTTTCACATTGTGTAGGTGTTCAATAAAGAGCAAACCATGTTTAATTGTGATGCAATTAGTACAATTATATATATGTTGATAAACACATAAAATACTATTAGACTTAGAAAAGCAGGGTTTTATTAGTATTTACCCCAAATTACATATATGATATATAGAGCTAAGTACACTACACAAACACACACACACACACAAGTACAGCTAAAACTGGCCTATCTCAAATAAGACTGGTATGTTGTATAAATATCAATATCCTGATTGTGATATTGCACTATAATTTTGCAAGATGTTACCACTGGGGGAAACTGTATAAATAGTACACAAGAATTCTATATTTTTTCTTAAACAGAATGTGAGTCTACAGTAATTTCAAAATAAAAGTTTAATTATAAAATTTTAATTATAAAATTAAATTAATTAAATACAGTAATAATATAAAATTAAAAATTAAATACAGTAATAGAGCTACATTAAAACATATAATGTTGAAAACAAACAAACAAAAAAAGATGTTCCACAGATAACTACCTTTGGGAAATAAGGGAATGTGTGTGTGTGTGTGTGTATGTGTGTGTTGATAGACATAGTAGTACTAATGCAAGAAAATCATTAAGAAATTTTTATGATATCTATTAAACTACTAAGAAAAGGTTTGAAAAATAATATTAAATATCCAATAATTTTATTCATTCCATCAAAATTGCAAGTTCTAGTTATGACTGTGGACCACAGGACATGATCATGAAGATTCTATTTAGGGGCACCTGGGTGGCTCTGATGGTTAAGCATCTGCCTTCAGCTCAGGTCATGATCTCCAGGTCCTGGGATCGAGCCCCACATCAGGCTCCCTGCTCAGCAGGGAGTCTACTTCTCCTTCTTCCTCTGCCTCTCCCCACTGTTCCAACTCTCTCTATCTGTATCTCTCTGTCTTAAATGAATAAATAAAAAATTCTTAAAAAGAAAAGAAGATTCTATTTAATTTTTTCCATGTTATTGATAAAATGTCATTTTTCCAAGCTAATTTAGTATTACTTTTTATGTTAATTAATAAAAATACCTTGCTGAATTTTAAAAAGGAAGAAAAATATGGAGGTGAAAAAACATTTTCCCTAAAGAATGATAAATGACTACAAACATTTTATTAGTGGTTAATATAATTTGTTATTTTAGCATTTGCATCTTAAAGCCTCAATTATTATTCTTAATGGCAATTTTAAGATTCAATATTGGAGAGAGTTCAAGATGACAGAGGACAAGGAAACCTTAATTTTGAGTGGTCTCAGGAATTCAGCTAGATAGCTATCAAATCATTCTGAATATCTTCAAACTCAACCAGAGAGCTAAGAATAGAACAGCTGCAACTCTACAAATAGAAAAGTGACCACTTTCTGCAAGGTAGGAGGTGCAGAAAAGTGAATCCAAGGTGATATATGGGAAGATAAACCTCAGAGGGGAGGGAGGCTCCATCAGCCACCTACTGGCAAGTGATATAGCAGCAGAACACAAAATCAGAACTTTTAGATATCTGCTCTGGTGAGGGATGTTGCTCAGGCAGCTAAGTGGGGGCAGAACCTGAACTGGGACAGTGTGGTCTCAGGATCCTCGGGGTCACAGGAAGACCAGGGATGCCTGAGTGTGGCAGAGCTCCCAGAAGTTGGAGCAGGGAAGCCAGCTGCAAAGAGTGGGCCCAGGAGTGGGCTCTCAGCTCAGAGTTGCCATAAACCATGAACAACAGCTCAGTCGGGTGACTGAGCAGGGGCCCAGCAAGCACCAGAACCATGAAACCCCCGTTCCTCCCCTGGGAAGAGCAGTTCAGGAGCACACCACAGGAGTCTGCAGCATTCGGAGACTCGAAATAGGGTCATGTGCCTGAGATAGAAAAGCTCCGTCACAGGCCGAATGAGCATGGAGTGTAGCTGGAGACCAAGGAGACAGGAGTGACTGACTGCTTTTCTCTGAGGGCTCACTGAGGAGTGAGGCCCCAAGCTTTTGGCTCTGGGGCTGGAGATTGGGAGGCTGCCATTTTCATTCTTATCCCCTAAAACTGAGCAAAAAGCCATCAGGGAACAAAAGCCACATAGAGCAAAATGGAGCAGATTACTTAGCCTGGCTCCCTGACAAGGGCAGTGCAATTCCACCTGGGGCAAACACATTTGAGAATAACGCAACAGGCCCCTCCCCCAGAAGATCTATAAGAATATCCAGCCAAGACCTAGTTTATGGATCAATGAGAACTGAAAAACTCCAGCACTAGGGGAATATAGCACATAGAATTCATGGCTTTCCCCCCCATGATTCTTTAGTCTTTCAACTTTAATCTTTAAAATGTTTTTTTTTTTTTTACTTTCCTTTTTCTACAAATTTCTTATTTTATCAACTCTTTTAAATCTTTTTTTAATTTTCATTTTTACAGTACAATCTATCCCTTCATTGTATTTAATTTTATGCTTGTATATATATGTTTTCCTTTCTTTACAATTTTGGGATGCAGTTTCTTCTAACAGACCAAAATATACCCAAAATCTAGTGTCTGGCTCTGTTCTATTCACCTGTCTGATCACACTATCTTTTTTGTTGTTGTTTTCTTTCTTTTTTTTTTTCTTTTTCTTCTTCCTTTTTTCTTTTTTTTAATCGAAGTCTTTTTAAATTTTCATCTTTACATTTACATTCTAGCCTTTTAATGAATTTAATTGTATTTTTGTATATATAAGTTTTTCTTTCTTTACAATTTTCAGATGTAGTTTCTTCTAAAAAACTGACCAAAATACACTCAGGAGCTCTGGTTCATTTTTCTTTTCTTTTCTTTTTTTTCCCTTGTCTTTTAATTTCCATTTTTACAGTTACATTCTATCCTTTCATTGTATTTAACTTTATTTTTATACATATATATGCTTTTCTTTCTTTAAAATTTTGGAATCTAGTTTTCTAAAAACAAACCAAAATACACACAAAATCCAGTGTATTGCTATGTTATGCTCACCTCTCTGATTATATTCTATCTCTTTGTTTTTTGCTTTTGTTGTTGTTGGATTATTTTTTCATTTTTCCCCAGTTTAGGGTCTCATCTGATTTGTTTAGTGTATATTCTTCTGGAGTTGTTGTTGCCATTTTAGTATTTTGTTCTCTTGTTCATCTATTCTTCTCTGGACAGAATGACAAGACAAAAAAACTCACCTCAAAAAAGAGAACAAGAGGCAGTACTGACTACCAGGGACCTAATCAAGATAGACATAAGTAAGATGTCAGAACTAGAGTTCAGAATAACATTTATAATCATACT